TATATATATATATATATATATATATATATCTATAGATATAGATAATATATAGATATATATATATATATATATAAATTTTAATAAGCAAAAAGAGATTCTATGTGTGTAATCGTGTATATTTTTTAAACAAATATATTATTAAGCAAATAAATAAAGTCACATCGAGCAATAAAAAGATATATTAATATAATAAAATAAATAATTTAATGATCACGCTTTATAACATAATTACGAAATATTTCGACTCTAACGTGAATCTTCTTCAAAGTCAAAAAAATACGCGTTGCTTTTAGACATTGACTTCTTTTTATCTTTTGACATCGATTAATGTATACCGCGTAATTTTTTGGCCGAAGAAGACTCAAGTTAGAGTCGAAATATTTTGTTAATTATGTTAAAGCGTGATCATTAAATTATTTATTTTATTATATTAATAATCTTTCTATTGCTCGATGCGACCTTATTTTTATTTGTTTATTTGTATTTACATTGCGAGCGGTTCTGTCATTTTTTTATATTTTCTCTCTTAGATATATTATTGTTCGATTAAAGAGATTACTTTATGTAATTTAGATAATTTTTTATAAAATTAATATAAAGACTGAAAAACTACTAACAAAAAACTACGGCATTAATTGATAAATTATTATATTGTTATATCATATTATTGTTTTATGGTAATGTAAATAAAAAAAAAGAGGTTCTATACTTCTTTTTTAAAAAGTTTTTTAGTTTTTCGTTTCGTTATACGTTGACGCGGAAAAAAAAATTCTAAACTCGAACAACACACATCGACTGCAACTGCCAAGCAAAACTTGGCTTATTTCTGCGAGGACAAAGTCACGATAATTAATTCACGTGACCGAGTTTGAGTTTTATATTACTGCAATGCGCTAAAATGTTGCGACCGTGACGAGTTCCGTCAACAAGAATGATGAGAGTCGAGCTAAAAAAAAAAAAAAATGTTACTATATAAAACGTCATCAAGATAAAATCGCGAAAAATCGCAGAAAATCCACACGCGTCTTTTCCAGACGGCGTCACACGGCGTCAATCATCAAACAAAAAAAGAAAATACACCAAACATGATCGCACATAAAAGCGTGATATGAAAAAAAAAAAAAAAAAAACAAAAACACGTAAAATAAAAATCTTGGATCAAGGAAAACTTTGACCTACATGACGCAGCAGATTTAAAGAACAAGGGCGAAGTTGGTCTCACGCGCGAAGAAGAAACCTGTGCGGCGTTCTTTCCCGCTGCACCCTCGCTCGATCGGTTCGCACCTACCCCAGCTGATCTCGTTGAATTGAAACTGCGAGGAACCAACGGGCTCGACATCGAGCAACGACGCCGGCGGTGGCGGCGGCGGCTGCTGCTGCTGCTGATTGCACGGCCCATGAAGACGACAAGTTGCTGTGGGCCCGATTATGGTGCGACTGTAAATCATTTCGGCGGTGATCTCGTCGAGCTCGGCTTCGGAAAGATTGTCCATGGAACCGGCAACGTCCAACGGCGGAGGACATTGGAGTATCTTGGACGTTCTGCTGATGGATGAGGACGTGCTCGGCTGAGCGAAGATCTCATCTTGATGATGATGATGCGGCGGCAAGGGCGGACTACTACCGCCGCCGATGCGCGATAGCGGCGGCGAAATGTCAGCGACTCGAGGATGATGACCGGTCGCGATAAGCGGCTGCTCGTATTCGGCCGAACCGCCGCTACCAGGCGTCGGGGGATACGTGCTCGTGCTAGGTTTCGCAGGCCGCTCCCGCGGCAACACCTGAATGCCGCTCGCAGTTGCGGAAGAAGACGGACCGCCACCTTCGACCACAGCAGAAATACGACGGCTTGCGGCAGCTGTCGCGGCGGCAGCCGCCGTGGCCGCCGAATACGAGTAAAAAGAACTACCCTGAATCATCATGCTGCAGGGTGGCTCCTCCTTCGCGACCCCCATACCGGTCCCGGCCACGCCGAGTTCGCGTTCTTGTTGCACGGTGCTGTAAGCGCTCTGGAGTTCTTGCTGGTGCATCTGTTGTTGCGCTTGCTGCTGCTGTGATGATTGATGCAAACTCTGATGCTGTTTATCCTTCTCGCGGCGAGGTGACCGACCTCGATCGCTGACGGAAGTCGCGCTCCAGTAACCCCACGCCATTCCGTTTTAGCGAGTTTAGTTCCCTCCGTGCTTGCCTCGCCTTGGCTCGCGATCGCCGCGCGGTGTCGCGGCTCACTTCTGATCCGCTTCTAGCTTCTTCTTCTTGTTTTCTTCTCGCGCGGCGATTTTCTTTCGCCACCTCACCCCTTCTTTCTTCTTTACCGCGCTCGACCTCTTAGAGAGGAGTCGCCGGGATGAACCGGCGACGACGCACCAGTTCGATCGATGTTAGTTTGCCGCCTCTTTTACGACCTCCCTGTCTCTCTGTCTCCCTTCCTTTTTCCCTCCCCCCTCTCTTTCTCTCTCTCTCTCTCTCTCTCTCTCTAATTTCAGTGTAGCAAGCCGACGACCAACTCCTTTTGTATATATATTTTTAGTAAAACTCTCGATTGTGGACTTCGACTTCCTCCCCTCTCTGCTTTGATCTTCGTTAAACACTTAAATTTTTTTCGCCAACTTCTCGATGACCCGATTTCGCAATGTTACACCTAATTTCGTCGACCGATGATGCGACAACGTGACGTATGTTGCCCCTTGCTGATCGGCCCGTGCAAAGATATCGACTACGACTGCGGCGAACGGTGTTAACCACCCGCCACCGCCACCACTACCGTCGTCGTCGTCGCCGCCGCCGCCGCCGCCGCCGCCCGGCGCACGCTACCAAACCCAATCGCGCAAACGCGGATCACATCGAGGTAGAGAGGTATGATACATATATCTCTCCCCCGTCATCTCGTCGCGCTGCTGCTGGTTCTAGCAGCTTTTATTCACCCACGACTTCCCTATACTTCTTTCTCTCCTACTTTTAACTCTTTCAACACTTGCTCGTTCTTTGAAATTCCGTTTACTATTTGTTCATTGATTGTCTACGACGCGTTGTCTTCTTTCGCCTTTTTCAGTCAAGTTTTCATTTCGCGCGCTCTCTGTATTCCAATATTTGTTTTTATTACACATCTTCTTCGGGCGCGTTTCTTTCGTTAATTCAATCTCCTCTTCCGAGATTTTTTTTTTTCAGTTTTACAAAACGTGTCTCGATAGAGAACTATTGTTTTTTTTACATTAAAAATCTGAAAAATTTTTTCGCAATATTTTCAAAATTAGTTAGGGAGGTAGATGGGATCTCTCATATATGTGATGTGAAATGCAGCATCCAATATGAATTTAAGAATTGATATTCAATTCAAAAAACTCGCGTGTAAAAATTTACACGCGACCAAATATATATATGTATATATATACGCAGTTAAAAAAAAAAAAAAAAAAAAAAAAAATATATATATATATATATATATCGCAGTTTTCCGCACAACATCCTGCGATCGGCTCGGATGACCGTAATTATATTTCTTAGTTTAGTAACTTATCGAGCTTCAATAAGCTTTAATTATTAAAAATCTGCTTTTTTTCTTAATTTTAACTCTGACATTTAATTTTTTTCTTATTTTACAAGCAAGAAAGCGTAGTCAAAGTATACTATACTTGTTTTTGTTTAGAACTTTGAAACTTCGAACATGAAAAAAAAAAGACTTTTTTTTTTATAAAGAATGTGTTTATCAAAGAGCAATAAATAATAATTAGAACAACGGTCTCTATCGAGCAACAAAAAATAGATCTTACGGTTTGTTAAAATAGAATATAAAATATAGAATTCACATAAATGTAATTACATAATTTTTTTTTATCAAAGAGCAATTCAATTGTCGCATAAAGCTGTGCGAGGAAAAGCAAAAGACAACACACCGAGAATCGAATCGGGGAAATGTACGTGCAAATCACGGCCGTGCTATTTTCCACACACAGAGAATATCGCGTAAATGAAATATCCATATCGAGTGATCTCGAGACCAGCGGATATAAATTTTTGATCACGTGTTGGATATAGCGGAGCTCTCTTGTCTCAACTTGTTCCCTTGAGGAAAACACGGCATTAGTTACGTATAGAGAGTTTACTTCTCCTCTCGCGCCGCCGCCCTACCACACTCGTCGGAGTTTCCTTCCTCCCGTTGTATTTGTCAGTAATTAGCATGCGCACTGTACGCGGTGTCGCGTAACTCGTATATCAAGGAGCGGAGGAAACAGAAGAGAGAGTTAAATCGCCGAAGACTGCTGTACCTATAGACTGCTGTATCTTCGAAATAAATATACGAAACGCGATATTGACGAATACCGTTCATCTTTCAAGACACTTCAAACAGATCGACATTATGTAAATATCAAGCGGCGTGTTGGTACGCGAAGATATTTCTTTTGCGCTCTAATCAGCGATTACTATCGACGATAAAACCACTACAAAAACAAAACAAAATATCAGCAAGATGTTGTTTGTACACCATTATCTAATGCGCGTATCGCTACTTGAAATGCGTTGCGGCGTTTTCGCGTACGTTTGCTACGTCGCCGCCGTGCATACGCACATTATGCGGATGTATCATTTTATTCATAAGTAATTTACACAAATGATTTTTTACGTTAAAGTTATTTTCTGACATAATGTCAAAGATAGAGATAGCATAGTAGATATATATATATATATATTATTATATATATTA